TCTCTCTGTGTGTGTGTGTGCTCTGACTTAAACTGTAAAAACCTCAAGATTCCCAGCATGCATCGTAAATAAGGCTGGTTATGTAATAGCCTAAATATTAAGCAAATATTCACCGCTCTTTATATTTTCTACTAATAGGATTGGGTGTGCAAATGTACCACGGTGATAATGGGTTGCATCTAGGTTATAGTGTGCACGTCTGTGTCTGTGTGTGTGTGTTTGTGTGCTCGCATGCGATTACGCGTGTGTTTTCACATGTATACTTTAACATAACAAAGTCTGAGCGGGGAAATGACCTTGAAGCTTGCGAGAAAAAAAAAGGATCTCAGTCTCGCTAATATGCTTACACATGCAGCTGCACGTGTGCCTACTGTATGATCACTCAGACACTCAAAACACACACATATGCATATCTTCACTTTAGATTCAAAGTGGGAAAGAGGAGGAGAATGAGAAGCACAGAGGGGAGGATGAACTCTGGGCTCTCCCTATTGTCAACTAAGGCTATTTGAAGTTACACATAACCCAGTTACAGGGAAACCACTGTGTGTGTGTGTGTGTGTGTGTGTGTGCGTGTGTGTGAGTGAGCACATGCATGTGAAGTGAAGTTTTTTGGAAACAGAAAGGAAATCGACAGAGATGAATGGGGAGAAAAAGTGGAGAGAGTGAATGAGAATGGAAAATAGAGGTCAGTGGAAGAAAGTGAGAGACAGAGAGCAGGAATGGAGTGAATGGGAGGGAGAGAGGGAGAAGTGCAGCCAAAGGAGACGGAAAGAGAGAGCACAGTTTGTGAGAGAAAAAGATCAAGACTTCTCTCTTTTACAGGGATATATAAATATACTTCTCGCCTTTATGTTTGCTTGAGTGGGAGGGAGACAGTGTGAGAGACAGGCTATTGTCCTCGGGGACAGTATCAGCTCTTTGTTCAGCTGGCATGACACCGGTGTCACTGTCACCAAGCCACACTAACCCGCAGCAGAGAGGAACAGTGACAGTAAATTCAAATTACAAAACAGCATTTTATTCCCGTCCAACTCCGAGGGCAGTTTTTGAATTTTTAAATGTTTCCCCCTCAGCTGAAGGACATAAATAGGATCCCAAAATGAGCAAATTAGACTAAGAAGAAGTGAGCTAGTTGCTGATTCTTCATAAAGTGTCTGAAGATGAAAACAAAGTAACGTGACCTTTCTGGGAGGTTATATTGTAGATGTTGGACACACACTGTCTGGCCAAAAGTATATGGACACCATGCTTTGGTCTGCTTTCGGTCTGGGGCTGTTTTTCATGCTTTGGACCCCGGCTCTTTAGTCCCAGTTCCTAAGGGGATTTTTAATGCTACAGCATACAGTGATTTGAGATCGAAAAATTCATCTTGTCCTTGGAAACAAGAGTTGGCAAACCGATCTCACCAAAAGGCGTTCTGATTCAAATACCTTCAATTGGAGGAAGATCACGTGATGCATTGAAAAGCTCCAGAACAGCTACTGGAATAGACCATGTGATAAGATTGTTTAGCCAACATTAATAGCAACAGTTTGGACAGGAGTCTTTCCTATTTCACTTGACTGGCCTATTCAGAGCCCTGACCATCCAACACCATAATCTGGAAACCCTGAATGTCTGTATTGGTTTAATGGTCCACTTACTTTATTTGGGTGTCCACATCCTTGTGGCTATATACTGTATTTTGGTTCCAGTGGTTCCTAACCTTGCGACAAGGGTGCAAGGGTTGGGCAATATGTTAAAATTTTCCAACTTTTCACCATCAATCAAAGATTGCTGATATATTCACACATTTGTGTGTGGTTCAGCAGCTCAGTGTGTGTACTTCTGAACGTTTGTCATTTTTTGGAGGCAGACCATTAAATTAGCAAAATAAAATGACCAAAATCGCCCCAAAAAAACAAGCGGCAATGGACTCCAGCCATCCGGCCAATCGCTGATAGTTGATATATTCGTCCAATTGCCCAACCGTATTGGGTGCTTGCAAGGGCAC